TGAACTGTTGTTGGTTTAAGAATAAGTCGACTAGAAATACTGGGAATGGCACCTTCTATATAAATAAAATACTAAAAATCGTATATCTGGGAATAAAGAACAACTAGAAAAAATTTTACATTGGAATATAGTTTTTAGTGTAGCAAAGCATACTGGGTAAGCTAGTATATATAAAAACAGACCCTTTGTTTGTTTGTGTGTTTGTTTGTTATGCTTTCACGTCAAAACTACTCAACCGATTTACATGAATTTTGGACCACTAATAGGTCTAACTCCAAAAGGTGCAATGGAAAGGATCATGATCGGATGCCACGCCCTTTTTCCGCCCACTTTTTGTAAAACTATTATTACACCAATTTTGCAATCACAATTTGCAAAAACTACTAAAGGACTATAGGATATATATAAGATGTTGATCTGATGCCACGCCCCTTTCTACGCCCACTTTTTATTAAACTATCCTTACCTATATCGTATCCTATAATTATATGAAAGAGAATGTCTGTTTGTTAAGCTTACACGGTCAAACTAATGAACCGATTTACATGAAATGTAGAACACTAATAGTTCTATTCTAAGTGGAACAAAATCATGATTGGACGTTACGATTCCTCTTTTGCTTACGTTTTTCTATATAATTGTTACACAAAATTTTCATTCGAGACTTACAGAAAACTACTGAACCGCTTTACATTAAATTTGGTATACCGATAGGTCTGACCTCAGGAGGAACTATAAAGTAAGATCTGGATTGGACGCCACGCCCCTTTTTACGCCAACTTTATGTAAAACAATTATTATACCAAATTTACGTTCAAGCATACAATATATATATATATATATATATATATATATATATATATATATATATATATATATATATATATATATATATATTCAGTCGAGTTTTCACATCGAGTTTTCCTTGATTGCTTTCTTCGTCAATGAATTATGCACATTATAGTGATTATCGGATATGGACCTTATATGGGAGATATGACCGATCCGAAAAAAAATTCCTAAACTACTTCATATATACACAAAACATATTCATGTCGATTTTTATCCCGATATCTTTATTTATCAATGAATTAAGCTTGTTTAAATGATTTTAGAATGTGGACCTTATATGACAGCTACTACCAATTGTGGACTGATCCGGAAAAAATTTTACTGAATGATTTATATCTACATATATACAAAACATATTCACCTCGAGTTTTACCCTGATAGCTTTACTTATCAATGAATTATGCGCATTTAAGTGATTTTCGGATGTGCACCTTATATGGGAGCTATGACCGATTATGGACCGATTCTTGTTCATAGAAATATGGGCTAAAATTAAAAATATTTAAAAATTATGTTTTGAAATAAAGTGTCGGTTAAAAATGATTTTGAATTGTAAAAAAATTAAAAAAATATATAAAAATTTGTATTCAGATCTAAATATTTTACACATTTCCGTAAAAAATATAAAAGTGTGTATACATTTTAAAAAGGACAAAGGAAACTCTTTTCAAAACAGTTGAAAAATATTAAATCGGTTAAGAAAATTTTGAGATATAATTTTTTTGGTCTGTCTAGTCAACAAAAAGCGATTTTTTCCATGTGAAAGCTTAGTTCCTGTTAAAAATGGGCGGAATCGGTCCACATTTTCATATACCTCCCATACTAATGTACATATGCATTAATTGTTAATACCTTCCGGTAGAATAACAATATCTTTACAAACTTTTACAAGAGGAACATTTTTCTGAATCGGTCCATAATTGGCCGTAGCTCCCATACAAGGTCCCCTCCCGAAAATCGGTTAAGCGTACATTATACATTAACAAATAATGATATCCATACAAAATGTTGCACAAATATTGCCTTTATATACAGAAATGATACTGTAAAATTTGTTCACGATCGGTCCATATTTGGTCATGCAAGGTCCCTCCCGAAAATCACTTAAACACACATAACTTATTGTTAAATAATATTGCTTATATACACAGAAATGATACTGTAATTTTTTTGCTATCGGTCCATATTTGGTCATATCTCCCATACAAGGTCCTCTCCCGAAAATCACTAAAACGCACAAAACTCATTAGCAAATAGAATCCTTACAAATTTAGGCACAAATGTTGCCTTTATATATAGAAATTATACTGTAAACTTTTTTCAAGATCGGTCCATATTTGGTCTTAGCTCCCATACAAGGTCCCCTCTCGAAAATCACTTATACGCACATAATCATTGTTAAATAATGGTATCCATAAAAATCACTTAAACGCACATAACTTATTGTTAAATAATATTGCTTATTGTAGTCGTTATATTTAAATAAATAAATTTGTGTTTTTTATTTCAAATTTTAATGTTTTCAAAATCATATATTATATTTTATAAAAATTCTTGAATATAATAATTGACAATACATAATTTTAAAATCAATGAATATAAAATTAAAATTTACAGTTATAAAAAGGGATGTACCCCTACAATACTCCCCCTCCGGAAAGATTAACATTTAATAAATTAAATGTAACACTTTTTTTAGGTTTTTGTATAGTATTATTCATGTTAGTGTTTTCTATGTATGCAGGTTTTAGTTTGTCTATAGAAATCGTTTTTATTTTACCATCCACATCTAACTTGAAACTTTTTTATCTTTTTCAATTACTTTGTACGTTCCTTCAAATGTTGTTTGCAAGAACCTCTTTTGATCAACATGTACAAATACGTATTTGCAAGTAGAAAGATCTTTAGGTACATATATATCATTATTACTACTTTTGTGATGTGATAAATTAGAACGAACATTTTTAAAATATTCTTTTAATTTATTTAAAAAATCATACAAAGATTTTTTAGTGATACAAAATTTACCATACCTTGGTCCGCCTTTTTTTGAATACCGGGCGTAATTTTTTCTTGTTAGTTAGACAACAAAATTTCCAATAATATACAAAAAATTTCAGATCAATATCATTTACAGATCCAAAAATATACGTTTTTTAATTTAAAAATTCAAAAAATTTTAGATTTTTGCCGTTTTTTGCCAAAAATGTGTCTTAACTCTTTTATTAATAAAATAAAAATTTTTTTAAGAACATATAACAATTTTATAGTTTTCTAAAAGGTATCTTTACGCAGAACGCTTTAGCGTAAAAAACTTGTCCTATTTTTTGAAAATGTTGCCACTGCGTCCTTCCGAATATGACCTATTTTTTATCAAAACTTCAACTTTGGGCGACATGTTCTAAAATCCCAAAGCTGGGATCAGAAAACTGAAAGCAGTTTTGGAAACCTCAATATGTTTTCTATTTACTCCAAAAGTATTTTCCCAGCCCTGAAAGAAATGTGGACCATATGGGCAAAAAAGTAAAAAATCACATTTTTGGGATTTTCATCCCTTTTTTTGGGAATTGCGGGATGCCCTTTCCCTTTTCAATTTTTTTGCATTTTCTTATTTGAAATGACAAATTTAACAAGCGTTGAAAATTTCATTGAGTTTTGTTCATAAATAAAGATTTTGTCATATATTACATATTTGTTTAATTTCTAAAACTATGATTTATATCAAAATTTTAATAGGGTCGCAGATAGCTACAACAATTTAGTCCATATTTATCCCTTAATATCATTTTTTAGTTAGATATGGAAATTCTCGACCCTTTACAAAAAATTTCAAGCCAATATCTCAATTACATTCAAAAATATGTTCATTTAAACCTGTGTCCTTTAATTTCATCTTTTTCATATTTTAGTATTAAGTATGACAGAACATATTTAAATCTTATATTTACCTTGTTTCTATTTGTTTGCTTATCCTTATAATTGAAAGGTCAATGAAATTTTCAACACTTGTTAAATTTGTCATTTCAAATAAGAAAATGCAAAAAAAAAAATTGAAAAGTTCAAAGGGCATCCCGCAAATCCCAAAAATAGGAATGAAAATCCCAAAAATGGGATTTTTTACTTTTTTGCCCATAGTTTTCTGATCCCAGCTTTGGTATTTTAGAACATGTCGCCCAAAGTTGAAGTTTTGATAAAAAATAGGTCATATTCGGAAGGACGCAGTGGCAACATTTTCAAAAAATAGGACAAGTTTTTTACGCCAAAGCGTTCTGCGTAAAGATACCTTTTAGAAAACTATAAAATTGTTATATGTTCTTAAAGAAAATTTTATTTTATTAATAAAAGAGTTAAGACACATTTTTGGCAAAAAACGGCAAAAATCTAAAAATTTTTGAATTTCTAAATTAAAAAACGTATATTTTTGGATCTGTAAATGATATTGATCTGAAATTTGTTGTATATTATTGGAAATTTTGTTGTCTAACTAACAAGAAAAAATTGAGTCCATTTGGTCCAAAATTACGCCCGGTATTCAAAAAAAGGCGGACCAAGGTATGGTAAATTTTGTATCACTAAATTTTTAAATGCCTATAACTCGGATATTGTAAGAGATAAGTAGTAGAGATAAAATATAAAAATCGTTGTATTTGGGTGAAAAACAAAAAAATGGCACGAGTTTAAAAATTTTACATGTCGTATGTACCCTACTTTGAGCCGCCACAGCGCCCTGGGGCATCTGCAGGGTTCATCTTCAAAACTTAAACTCGAATACTCCTTGTCTACGCTCAAGTCAAATTTTATACCGATCGGATCAGCCGTTTAGAAATGCCAGATTTATTTCCAAAAAATTTCCATTCTGCCCCACTGTGCACTGTCAATTAAAAATTTTATTTTATTATTCTTATCATAAAGAAAAAGGCGACGTGTTGACAAGTTCAAACTCCCATTATCTGTCGCCTCGATAGTGGGTCCAGTTAGTTTTTTGAATCTTCTTTTTGTCTATAATAAGAGCAAGGTTGTTCACACCTTCTTGCTTCACTACCGTATCTGTAATGGAATCTACAAACCCAATTTCTATTCGTATATCTAGGACGAGATCTGCTTCTACTTAATCGCCTATTTAAGGGTCTGTACTGTTGTCCATCTACCTGATTTGTTATTGAAGCTATGTCTAATGAAAGATTATTGAAGCTATTACAAATATTGGTAGAAGCTTGTACTAGATTTTCAACAACCTTTTCTAGACTATACGAATTTGCAGAATGTATTGGAGTAGTATATCTAATACTTGCTATCTTATTACCTTGTAGCGCTTCCCATATGTTATCAGCTAAGCGTGTTAATTCATTCATATCTGTTAAATTGGAACCAGTCAAGACAACATTTACATTATTTGGTAATTTTCTATAAAATTCAGATGGTTTTTGATCTCCCATCTCAGAATCAGACAATATTTTATCTAATTTTGTATTTTCACTCATAGAATGTCTTTCAATAAGGATCTTCTTTAAATGATCGTAGCGATTACCTGAAGGAGGATTCTGTATAATGTCAAGTACAGTTACTATTACATCTTGAGGTAAAGCAGTAACAACATACTCATATTTAGTAATGTCCTGTGTTACTTTCTTATTTGCAAATTGCATTTCAGCATGGATAAACCACGCTTCCGGACAATTTGTCCAAAATTGGGGAAGTTTAATAGTGGTAGAACAAATTTCAATATTAGACTGAGGACAAGTAGGAGTTGAACGATTATCTAATTCAGTCAAGGTTCCAGTTTCAGTATTGATGTTGTCAGAATTATCTGTTAAATTGGGTTGTGACGTACAATTTGGACGTGTTGAATTGGGAGAGTGTACAAACATGGTTTCCGAGGGAAAAGTTTACAATTAACAACAATAAACAAACAAGTAACAACAACGAATGTAGTATATTGATTTGATTTAGCAACGTGTATGTATTTGGATGTATATATTAAAGGTAACTTAAAATAAATATAATATAGTATACTTATTTCTGTTTTTTTAAGTTCAGGTAAATCTTTGACCGATATTTATAGTAGGTTGAAGCGGTATATTTTATTTAGGGATCTTGACTCTAATTCAGGTTTCGTGCTCAATGATTGCCTGTTTTTAGGAAATTGAACCGTGAAATTGATTGATGATCTTAACTTATGATCTTGATTGATGATCTTGTTTGATAATCTTGATAAATAATCTTTTTTTGATGATCTTGATATTTGGAAATCTAAGATCTTGATTAGATTAAATCTCTGAGGTAATTCCCGAATAATTAGTTTTGTTTTTCTTTATTTTTTATTTTTTTATAATATTAAATTGCAGGATCGCCGATTGTAGTCGTTATATTTAAATAAATAAATTTGTGTTTTTTATTTTAAATTTTAATGTTTTCAAAATCATATATTATATTTTATGAAAATTCTTGAATATAATAATTGACAATCTATAATTTTAAAATCAATGAATATAAAATTAAAATTTACAGTTATAAAAAGGGATGTACCCCTTCACTTATATACACAGAAATGATACTGTAATTTTGTTTGCTATCAGTCCATATTTGGTCATATCTCCCATACAAGGTCCCCTCCCGAAAATCACTAAAACGCACAAAACTCATTACCAAATAATAGAATCCTTACAAATTTAGGCACAAATGTTGCTTTTATATATAGAAATTATACTGTAAAATTTTTTCACGATCGGTCCCTATTTGATCATAGCTCCCATAGAAGATCTCCTTTAGAAAATCACTTAAACGCACATAAATCATTACCAAATAATGATATCCTTCCAAAATTTGGCTCAAATATTACTTTAGTTTACATAAATTTTATTTAAAAAAAAAAGTTGACGATCGGCCCATATTTTGTCATAAGGTCCCCTCCCACATATCACTTAAATTCACATTTACTCATTACCAAACAATGATATCCAAAATTTGACACAGGCATTATATTTGTATACAAAATGTTATTTTAAAATTTTTCACAATCGGTCCAGAATATGGGTCCGATCGGTTCCATACAAAGCCGCTTCCGAAAATCACTTAATGCACATCACTTATTACCAAATAGCTATATAGATACAAATTTTGACAGAAATATAGCTTTTATTTACAGAAATATTATTGTAAAAACACTTTAACCGAATATAATTAATTGTAATTTGTTTAGTAAAATTAATTTAGTATAAACAAATTCTGAACAACAGTACACATATCTAAATTTTCTTAAATATTTCACACACATGTATACCTGGAAGTTATTAAATATCTTTAAAGCATATTTTAAGGCACTATAAAATATTATAGAAAATTGTGCTTATAATGCTATTAAAATCTTTGCTTGTTGTATTAGAAAAGATGAGAAACCCCATTTCCACAAATATTTGATTAACTAAAAGGTTATTAATATAAAAGAAGGTGGAGGAGGGTATTTAAGATTCGGTTCAGCCGGATATAGTTCTCTTACTTGTTAATCGTTAATATAGTGTCGACGATCAATTCTGGAACAAAAATTCCTTGGCTGTTTTTATACCCTCCACCACCATCAGTGAAGTCAAGAAATATTCATCTGAGACCCAACAAAGTATATATATTCTGGGTCTTTATCAAATTCTGAGTCGATTTAGCTATGTCCGTTTGTCTTCCTAAAACATGCTCACGTTAAAACTAATTAAAAGAAATAAACCAAATTCACCAAAAATATTCACTGTTGTCCTAAGCAGTTTGGTATTGAAAATCAGCAAAATCGGTTCACAACGTTAAAAGTTATGAGTGAAAATTTCAGACTACCTCTAAAAAATTACAGTTTTTTTCGTAATTCTTAAGTCGTTTTCTCAGAAAATATAAAAGATAATTCTATGAATTTTGTCCCACAATATTTTTTTTATCCAGGGATAAATTTTATTGAAAATCAAAATAATCGATTCAAAATTTCCAATAGCCCCAATACAAAGGTATATATTCCAGAAAATTAGTTTATCATTAATAACTACCTCAAATATATCGATTTCAACACAAAATTTTGTACATGCAAATATAATATGAACAGAAATCATGCTATCGACGTAGATTTCAGTAGGTCCACAATTGGTCATAGCCATTTAGGGCCCACTTTCGAAAATCACCTAAACGCAAATATTTTATTGATAAATATAGCTATTGAGATAAAATTCGAGTTGAATATATGAGAGCTATGACCAATTGCGGACCGACTGAGATCTACGTTGGTAGTATGATTTCTGTTCATATTATATGTGACAAAATTCATCGAATTATCTTTTGTAGTTTCTGAGAAAACGACTTAAGAATTACGAAAAAACCCGTAATTTTTTCGAGGTAGTCTGAAATTTTTACTCATAAATTTTAACGTTGCAGACAGACAGACGGACATAGCTAAATCGACTCAGAATTTGATAAATTCAGAACTTATATATACCCACTATTACCACGGATGGTGGTGGAGGGTATAACAATTTGTTACCGGATTCCGTTCGCGTACTTTACAAAATTTGCGACGAGAAAGTATGAGAAAATTAAAAATGACGGTGTGTTGATAGAAAATTTTTGTAAATTTGAAATTTTTTAAAGAAAAAATATAAATTAACTAGATTTTTGTACCCGGCGTTGCCCGGTGTTTTAAGTGGTTTCATAACATTATACTTAAGTATTCTCCCGTCAGAGTAAACTAAAAAACAAGTTAGAGTGCTATATTCGGCTGAGCCGAATCTTAAATACCCTCCACCAGCTACTTATATATTAATACTTTTCTAATTGATCAAATATTTGTAGAAATAAGTTTTCTCATGTCTTGAATAGAAAAAATACAAAGATTTAAACAGCTTAAATCTATTACAATTCCATGATTTATTTCTGTTCATAAAAGCTATATTTCAGTCAAATTTTGTATCTATATCGTAATTTAGTAATAAGTAATATGTGTTTAAGTGTTTTTCTGAAGGGAACCTTGTATGGGACCGACCGCACCCATGTTATGAACCGATGGTAAAAAAATCTTGAAATAGAATTTTTGTATACAAAATTAATATTTGGGCCAAATTTTTTAGCAATAGCTGTATTTGGTAATGAGTAATGTGCGTTTAAGAGATTTTCATAAAAGGACCTTGTATGGGAGCTATGACCAATTATGGTCCGATCATAAAAAAAATCTACAGTAAAAATAATGTATATAAAGACAAAATTTTGGTTAAATTCTGTATCTATATCATTATTTGGTAATGAATATTGCGAAATCATTCTGCGAAATTTTGTTCGGATTGGCCAATAATGGGATATATCTCCATATGATTTCTAAATGATAGCACCCTGATCGCGGAAGCACAATTTAAACTTTCACAATTTATTAAATACGTATGTATGTAGAAATATTTAGAAGGGTTTTCATAAAAGGTAGCTTACAGGTGAAGGGCATTTAAGATTCGGCATAATCGAATATAGCACTCTGACTTGTTTATAATATTTAAAGAAATAAAACATACTACTTTCATCAAAATTGCAAAACAAAGCAGGAAAAAAACTACATTGTATATTTTTAGAATATTAACAAGTTAAAGTGCTATATTAAATACCCTCCATCTGAAAGCTACTTTTTATGAAAACCCTTCTAAATATTTCTACATACATACGTATTTAATTTAGAAATCATACGTATCTTTTATGGAGATATAGCCCATTATTGGCCAATCCGAACAAAATTTAGCAGAATGATCTATCGATAAAAAACACACTATGTCGGATTTTATTCGTATATACTTATATTTGAATGAAATATATTGGAAAAAGTGACTTAAGGAAATGAACCTTATATGAGAATTATGCATTGATACTAATTTTTTTTTTAAGATTTCTTATATACACAAAATATACTTATTCCGATAACATTATTTATCAATGAAATATGCGATTTTCTGAAGTGGATCTTATATGACAGATATGACCAATTATGGATCTGAAAAAAAACGTATTTATATAGCCTATTTATACCCTACACCACTTTAGTGGGGAGGGTATATTGGGTTTGTTCTGATGTTTGTAACGCACAATAATATTGGTCCTCTACCCACCTTAAAGTATACCAATCGACTTACAATAATTTTCTGAGTCGATTTAGCTATGTCCGTCCGTTTGTCCGTCCGTCCATGTAAACCTTGTAATCAAACTACAGGTCGCAATTCAGTGAAATTTGGCACATAATCTTCTATGGTACCGGAGACGAAGTCTATTGAAAATGGTTAACATCGGTCTATTATTTCTCCTAGCCCACTTACAACTGAACCCGACGAATAGGGCTTTTAAGTTTATAATTATGTTTAATATACTCGTATCTCGACAAAAAGCTGTAAAACCACGTTCATACTAGCCTTGATGACTCTCATGAATTTTAATTTGAGCATAGCCCCTATACAAAGCCCCCTTCAAAATTTGACTTAAATGTCCACAATTTTATTCAACAATAAATGGCATAAGTATATCTGAGACAAGGTACAATTCAACTTAAATGCTTTATTATGAAAACTAAATCACATTATATTTTTGTAACAGGTGTAGGGTATTATATGGTCGGCCTCGCCCGACTATAATTTCTTACTTGTTTTAAAATATCTTTACTTCTTAATTGGATATGTGCATTTAAGTGATTTTCGGAAGTTGTCCTTAAATGGGAGCTGTGACCAATTATGGGCCGATCCGGAAAAAATTTCGCAGAGTGTTTTATATCTATCGGAAATGGGCCTTATATGGGAGCTATGCCCAATTATGGACCAATCCGAAAAATATTTTGCAAAGTAATATACCCAGGAAAAACTTGGATTGAAAAGTAATG